TTCTGTAATCAAGGTCTCTCTTTGCAACTACAACTTTCGGCAATAAGGTTTTTCTGCAACTTCCGGCAATAAGGTTTTTCTGCAACTTCCGGCAATAAAGTTTTTCTGCAACTTTCAGCGACTTTTCCCCTCTCTCTGCAACTGATCAAAACCCATATCCGGCTGTCTCTCTCTCTTGCCCCTTGGTGTAATTTGCTCCCTTTCTCTCCAAATCCCTCCAAATCTTGTCAATTTTGGAGGGATTGGGTTTTACTGTATTGGAGGGATTTGGAGGGATAGCCTATCCCTCCAAATCCTTCCCAATCATTTCTTTTCTTCTCAATTCCCTCCACCCAAACACACTAAACTCTATCATTCCCTTTCTTTCTCTCCAAATCTCTCCAATTCCCTCAATCCAAACGAGGCCTAAGGCCTTTTTAGTATCTCCTTGTACATCGGTCTATCTATTTTAATGAATTTTGTGTGCGCTAAAAAGAATGTTTTTTTTTTTGGAGAGTTAGAACAAATGAAATATTAATTTTTAATATTTAATTATAAAAAAACTACCTCTTTGACTAAGATCTTTTATCATTTTAATAAATTGGTACATTATGTATCTTTGCATATCTCATAGTATATTGTTATTCTTTAGTAGAAAAAACTATCTTATATACCTTTAAAAAAAAAAAAAAATACTATCTTTTATTTGATGGACAAAATTGACCTCACCGAAACCTGTTCCCATAACATTAAAGTAATTTAAAAATAAAAAAGTCTACCTCCCTACGCCATGGGTCATATATGCCACTGTCCTTTTTCTTGAGAAACACATCTCTGCATCTTTAGTACTTCATTATCTGTTAACCAATTGTATTATGTGATATATATATAAAAGTACTCTATTTTAGTAGGTCATATCATTATATGTCAGTATCTAATGTAATCTGCGCAATTAAGTTTTCGTTCTCCGTTTTATTCATGGTCTCCAACATCACCTTATTGGTGAGCCTTTTGGTATTGACTCCAACTGGCAAGGACCATGTCACTGACATCATCCACCTCGTCATCTTTCTCCTTGGCCGCATCAATGGCCATTGTCTTCCTCATTGACTACATAAACGGCTAGTACAACATTGAATAAGAGTGGCCAACTTATATTGGCGTGTCGTGTCAGGACATAAGTATCCCATTGGTGTGTTAGGACACGAGTATCTTATCATACGAATTAACTTGACTACGACACAATTATTATTCATGTCAATAAATCTTAACACAAACACAACACAATTATTAATTGAGTAAATACAATACGACACATGTAACCAATAGTTAGCACAATTCGTTTTAATTAAAATTTCATACTATTAAGGTCATTTTTAGATGAATACAACAAGTTTATCTAACACATTTGCAGATGTTTCGATAACTCAATGAGTTGGTGTTTTCGGTGGACTTTGGAGTGTCAGGTTTCGACTATTTCCATCTACTAATCTAACTTCTAACACTTCTTGCCTTGAAAAAAAAAAAATCTAACACATTAGTTAAATGAATCTAATCGGGTTATAAAATATTTAGGGATATCGATTATGTTTTTGCCAATCAAGTTACAATCGTGTTCTTTTATAACGTGGATAGTCAAGAATTGAGCACATTCTGCTTGTAAATGAGGAGGGAAACACAGTTGCTGCTATGGGTTCATTAGAGACGATAGTGTGGTATCGACATAGCTTAATAGAGTGAGAGAGACTTACTTGGGTCCTCAACATCTCCGTTTCTGATACTGCTACTACTACACTTGTTTAAAATCTCACATTTCTTCATATGGATACTAAAAAGATCGATAATCCGGATAGGGCAGTATTTTTATTTTTTATTTTTATTTTTAAATTATTATTATTTTTTAACGGTCCTAATTTTATAGGAAAGTGAGGCCCATTCATCAACGGTTGTCATAATTTGAGAGTTTGCATCCAAATGGTTATTCTAGGTTTTCATAACTTCAATAAAAAGATATAAAGAATGAAAAATGTTATTCTTAAATTAAGTTAGGTTTGGTTTAATTGATGGAAAGTGGTGAAAAGTGAAGGTAAATGGATTTATAAAAATATTTTAGGGTTTTTAGGGTTGGAAAAATAAATATTTGGAGAAAATTATTTTTTCAAAACCAAACTTTTCTTATATATATATATATATATATATATATATATATATATATATTGTTTACTCCATTATTTTTGGCCCAATGGAAAGGCGACATGTGGCGAGTTCCAATGGAATTTACCACGCTGGATCGCAACTCTTATGAATTATTATTGGAAATTATGCAATATTACGTAGTGATTAAACAAGTGGGCTAGTATAGTCCTATTATATGGGGTTTTCTATTTTTGTTTAAAGGAAAAGGGGTGCATCCTATTAGGACTTGCCATCTTTAAAAACAAGGGCCGCATCTTCCTACATGGAATGAGTTTTGCCAAACACGGCAAATTCTATGGGACTTATCACGTCTTATCAATTCCTTTAGGAATTGTTACTATAGAAGGTTTTGTTTTTAAAAAAGGATCCCAAGTACATGGAGATTCACCAAAAATGGTAACACTAGAGTTGACCAAGTCAGAAGAAGGAGAATGTGGGGCTGAATTCTCTGCTTATTTTTAGGAGGCTTCAACGTTTATTTCATTAAGTTAATTTTATTTGCTGAAGAAGAGGGAAGTGGGTAACGGTTTAGAAAGGCATGTATATTTCTGGATATATATATATATATATATATATATATATATACTGAAATACAACCTATGTTGAAGAAATCCTAAAATCTTAGGGCCATGACGCCATAGAAGCCAAGACCAAAAAGGAAAGTTTGAAAGAAATGAAGTTACCTAAAATGCAAGGAGATGTGGTCTGCAGAAGAAAAGGAGGTGGGTTGGATAACTATATATATATGTGTACAAATATATATATATTCTATAAAATTACCCATGAGGAAGTTGCTAAAATCCAGGATTTCATGGCGCCATGAATTCTAAAGCTCATAAGGAAAATCTCAAAATGGGAAGTTACCAAAGTTCAAGGGATGTGGGTAGTTATATATCTCTGGTGTGTGTGTGTGTGTGTATATATATATATATATATATGAAATATTACCCATGATAAGAAAGTCACTGAAAATCAGAGACCACGATGCCATAAAAGGAAGGTTCTACAGAAGGGGAAGACTACTAGAAATTGTGGGACACTTGGCCAAACAAGAATACGTCAGTTGAAAGTGGTGGAGCTTCATAGGGGAACTACCACTAACTGAGGGAAGTTATCAAGGATCATTAATGACAAGGCTAAAACTGATAAAATCATGTCTGAAATTAAGGAAAGAAGTCGATAACATGAGGAAGAAGAACAGGGACGTGGGACACCTGTCAATTGATAAAGAGGATAAGTAGGAATTCACTTTAAAACTACCCACGACACAAGTTCATTGAAGACTAAAGAGAGCATGGCTGAAGTCTGCAACAGAGGAGGGAGAAGATGGAAGGAAGAAGTTACAACTGCCAAGAGATCATAGGGCACTTGGCAACCCAAAATCTGGTCACGTGGAAATCACTGGAGTTGCCACATCAAGCTGCTGCATGCATATAAAACTCTATAAATAGAGCACTTAGAGTTAGTTTACAAATCTTGTTCAAATCACATAGCAATACAGTACTTCAATTACTTTACATTCATGCAATGCACCTTCAATATGTTTAATTCAAGCCCCGCACTTATTTTTCTTACTTTCCAGCACCTTACTTTCAAGTCTTGTACTTTCAATACCGCTTTCCTTTCCACTAGCCATAGATTAATCCAAAAGTCCTTTTTCAAGGCAAAAAAAACCCTTGAAGGTGGTAATTCTAGTCCTTAATACAATCACCTGATTCCTACAATTTCCTACTGGATAATTGTTCAGATATCCACTTTGGAACGACAACAGTTCCTGGCACGCTCGACATTCACCCTCTTTTCTGCACTTGGAAAGGACCACGGTTTTTAGGAGCCGAACATTTTAGCACACCTGGTGGGACATCTTAACAGATTGTTCAATGGCCGGTGGAAGAAGGCAAGGCAAATCTGTCCAAGACCCTGCCGAGCTAGAAGACATACAAGCTAGTGAACTTCTAGTGGAAAGTTTACGATTTGCACCTGATGAAAATGATATGGTGGAAAAATTTGCTCAAACAATGGCAAATGGATCCATTATGGACAACATTCGCATAATGGCAATGTAGTAAGATAGGTTTGCACAAGACCAAGCAAGAGTCGCCCAAGACTTAGCCAGAGTTGTGCAAGATCAATCTAAGGCTAGTCAAGATCATGCAAAAACCGTTCTTGCTAACGAGTGGAACCTAGCAGAAATGGTGGACCAAATCTCTCGTAGGTTTAAGTCCATGTTGGAACGGTCCCTTGGAGGTTTGACTCAAGGTTTGGCCCCTCGGCCAAACAACTCTGAAGGGTCTCAACAGTCGGCCTTCCAAGCTAGCAGGCCGACCACATTTGTTGAAGGTAGTTCCTCTCAACAACATGCAGGCTCATTCCCTCCAACTCAACAGCAGATGCAGTCCCTTTTAATTGCACAGACTTACATTCCAGCTGCACCTGTGACCATTCCAGTGGTACAAATGACTGTTCCACAATCAGTGCCCATGCCAGTCATTCAGCAAGTTCAGAATCCTCCATCTGTGGCGTTTCCACAACAGACTTGGCATGATCAGCCTGGCCAACCATGGCCATACCACATTCCTTAAACACAATAGAACGTTCTACTTGTGAACATTCAGCTAGCCGCACCTGTTCTTCCAAGGCCACCAATAGTCATTCTAATGGTAGTTGGGTGGCAACCTTTTCTAAGTGAGCCACTTCCTGACCAAGGAGAAATGAATCGTGGCAGGAACAACTATGCAGATGCCAACCTATTGCTAATGGCAGGTGGAGGGCATCAAGTGGCCAATCAACCTTAAGGTTGTCTAGACAACAACCCTCCACAGCCTATGACATTTGATAGAGGCCAATTTACAGAGTTTCTCCAACAAGAATTTGGCCTAACTCGAAGAAGTGGAAGGCCAACTTATAGAAAACCCTATCTAGAGTTTATTGATGAAGTTGAGTTCCCAAAAAATTTCAAAATTCGAGAGTTTACAACGTTCAATGGAGAGGGCGAACAATCCACATTGGAACATATCAGCCATTTCACTGTCCAATGTGGAGAAGCAGTAGCCAATCTATGGCTGAAGGTGTGCTTGTTTCCAAACACACTGACTGGCTATGCTTTCAGGTGGTATTCCAACTTGCCATCCAACTCTATTCAAAGTTGGCAGCATTTTAAGGATTCATTCCATACTCAGTTATATAGAGCTGAGCCTGAAGTGTCCATAGTAGACCTTTCTAGACTTCATGAACTACCTGGAGAGTCGATGATGAGCTTCCTTTCCAGATTTAGGAGGGTCAAGTACAAATGTAATTTGTCTTTGCTACCAGAAGAATATGTGAAGATAGTTGTGAACGGCCTAAAATTTGAACTTCGTAAGAAGTTTGAAGGGGTACAATTCCATGACTTGTTCGACTTGGCCAGTAGAGTGGCTAAGTATGAAGAGCTCCTTCATGAGGAACAAGACCAGAAGAGTTCTTCTAAGGGCACCTACTATCGTGATCCCAACTATGAGGTGTATACCACTGAAGTAGATGGAGAGTTTGAGGTGAATGTGGCTGAGCTCAACATAAAAAAGGCTTATACTTGTGTGGCTTTGGCGAAACCAAAATCAGCCACAGCCAACTTACAGACCACCTCTAGTTCTAAGAGGAAGGGGGCAGACCCTTCCAGAAGTTACTTTTTTGACATCTCTAAAGCCGACCAAATTTTTGATTTGCTCATGACTGACAAGTAACTGATCTTCACAGTAGGCCACAAGATGCCAACGGCCTCTGAAATGGTTGAGAAAGAATATTACAAATTTCACAATTCGTGGAGGCATTCCATTAACAATTGTGTTATTTTTCGTAACATTGTGCAGAAGGCAATTGAAGATGGCTGGTTGAACTTTCCAGAAAAAACAGAAGTCATGGGTGCTGATGGAAATCCCTTTCCCAAGGTCGTTGCCATAAATGTTACTTCTCTTGCCTCGGAACACCCTAGAAAAAAGGTGGACCTGACAGATCCAAGGACCAGTGGAAAGCTGGAAATTTCTGCAGTTGTAGCATCCATGGAGAAAACAGTAATCGAGTTAGAAAGGCAACTTAGAGAAGCTCAGATAGCCTTAATCCAGCAAGGTTGCTGTCCTAAGTGTAAAATTCAGAATGAAAGATGCTATCGGGACTTTCCAAAGGAGGAGTAGAAGGAAAGGTTGTCCAACAGTGATAGAGGATATAAACGGAAGGTCCATGATTGGCTAACCTTCTAAAAAGTGGAAAACACAGTTACTGTGAGCATTCCAGAGAAGGAAAGCCGAGTCCTTACAGAAAGAAGATCAGTAGCAAGGAAAACATAATTTCTTCCAAGGAGCCTGGAAAGGAGTAGGGTTCCTTATGAGGCAAAGTCTCGTCCTAGCAGAAAGTATAAAAGTAGTAGTAGGCATGACAAAACCTCTGAAGGTGACAGATATTCCAAGCCAAAAATGGCCTTGGAAGTATAGGTTAGAAAGGGGAATGAACATCTCCGTCCAAGAATGATTAAGCCTCCCACTTTGCAAAATGACAGGTGGAAGAGGCTTGATCATCCCAAGTTTTCATTTTATGATAATTCCTATTTGACCCGTACACAAAAGCGAAGGCAGCAAAGAAAGAGGGCTGACAGAAGAAAATTATGGGAGAAAGACCACGGTTGGTCTAACTGGCCAAAAATGATAACTAAGCCATCGGATTTATCGGAACTTCCACTTAAAGGAGGAGTTAGAGATCCTCACGACTTGTTGGACCTAGTTTCCGAGGTTGGAAATTCCTTGATAGTAGATGACCCTCTTATAAAAGATGGAACAGACTTGAAAATCTCCAACAGTTCCAGTAGCAGCAAGAAGATCTGTTTTAGGAGCCTTCCAAGTGAATTTACTTGCAATATGGTAGTGGTTCTCCCTTTGTTTTTTGAGCCACAGCCAAATTAGCCAACTTCAATGGAAGGAAATGTGGTAGATACAAGTCCTCCATTGGAAAGTCCTGGACAGTCTAGTTCCGGGCCATTTATAATGGAACCTGATAATGACATCCAAATAGAAGAAATTTTTAGGAAGAAGTTGAGCATCTCCAGAAATTAAAAGGGGTAGTAATTGAAGAAAATAGCTCCACAAAACCAAAGAAAATTGTGTTAGAAAAGCCACCATATGACATGACTCAACAGCTTAAACCTTTATATATTAAGGTACTAATGGAAAAGAAACCCTTGGTAAGAGTTTTGGTAGATAACGGTTCAGTATTGAACGTTGTTCCAGTCAATGTCATACGTATGCCTGGAAAGTCGCCTGAAGACATCATTCCAACTGATGTATCCATTAGTGGATTCACAGGAGAAATAATGAAGACACAAGGCATTTTACCGTTGGAATTAATGGTGGGAGATAGAACTTCAATCACAGCCTTTTTCGTTATTGAATCCACAACGGCCTATAACTTGCTTTTAGGCCGTGAATGGATTCACCCAAACTTTTGCATTCCATCTTCACTCCATCAAATGTTGATATTTTGGGATGGAGATGAGGAAAAAGTTGTGGAAGTTGATAATCAGCCTTTTGTGGCAAGGGTCTACCATGCAGATGCCGAGCTATATAGTGAAGAATTCGTTCCAATCAGATTTATTGGAAATGATAGCAAGGGCCGTCCAAGGAAGGCCACCATGAGGAGAACTCTTACAGAAGATGACGTATGGGAGCTTTTCTAAGGAATACCAAGGCCAACAATTCTACCCAAGGTCGGTGTTCAGCACTATATTTCAAACAAAAGTTTTTATGGAAGAGAAACCTAAAGAAGAAAGAATACTTGGCCAGGCGGTTAATTGCTGCCTTGTGAGGTTGAAAGCATATCTAGCCGAACTACGGCTGGAAAGGGTTACAGCTACTGGTACTTCATTTTCAACCAATGTTTTGGAAATTATGGAAGATACCGAAGACAAGTTAGATGCTATCCAACTGACAGACTTGAAGGTAGCGCCAATGAAGCTCAATGATCTTAAGGCTGAAGTGCAAGATCCACTTTGGAAGTTAATCTTGGAATGAAACAAGACCCACGACCTACCTACATCAGTAAGCCTTTTGAACCAACGTTTAGAGAAGAATTGATTTCTTTGCTTGAAGAATATAAAGATTGCTTTGCATGGACATATGAGGAAATGCCAGGACTTTCTAGAGAGTTGGTGGAACATAAACTACTAATTAAGGAAGGTTTCAAGCCTTTCAAGCAGGCTCCAAGAAGAATGTCCCAGGAAGTCGTTCTAAAGGTCAATGAAGAAATTGAAAGGCTACACAAGCTGGTTTTATAAGAACCGTTAGGTATATTGACTGGATTTCCAACATTATTCCAGTTATTAAGAAGAATGGTAAGCTAAGGGTGTGTGTGTGGATTTCCGAAATATCAATCTTGCAACTCCAAAAGATGAATACCCTATGCTTGTTGCTGACCAGTTGATAGATTCTGTCACTATGAATGAAATTCTTTCGTTTATGGATGGACATTCTGGGTACAACTAGATTTACATTGCGGAGGAAGATATTGCCAAGACAGCTTTCAGATGTCCAGGATCCATTGGAACCTTTGAATGGGTTGTCATGCCATTTGGGTTGAAGAATGCCGGAGCAACATATCAAAGGGCCATGAATGCTATTTTCCATGACATGATTGGCCATTTTTTGGAAGTATACATTGATGATGTAGTTATCGAATTCTCGGCCAAGGTTCAACATCTCTAGAATTTGAAGATGGCTTTTGAAAGAATGAGGTAGCATAAGTTGAAGATGAATCCCCTAAAGTGCGCATTTAGGGTTTCAGCTGGAAACTTCTTGGGTTTCCTGGTTCACCAAAGAGGCATTGAGATAGACCAAAATAAAGCTAAGGCAATTATTGAAGCGAAGCCACCAACCATTAAGAAAGAACTACAAAGATTTCTTGGCCAGGTTGGATATTTAAGGAGGTTCATTGCCAATCATGCTGGAAAGACTCATGCTTTCTCCCCATTGCTAAAATTGAAAGGTGTTGAAGAATTCAAGTGGACAGAACAACACCAGCAAGCCTTTGGTTTGAAAAGCTATCTGGCCAACCCTCTAGTGATGATGCCTTTAATTAAGAAGCGGCCTTTAAGATTATACTTATCAGCCGTTGAAGAATTAATTGGAACCCTTCTAGCCCAGAACAATGAATGCGGAAATGAGCAAGCCATCTATTATCTAAGTAGGGTGCTTACCCCAGTGGAATGTAGGTATACTTCCATTGAAAAGTTGTGTCTTTCCATATATTATGCGGTTATGAAGTTAAGAACCTACATGTTGCCAGTAGCTGTGTATATCACATCTCAAACAGATTTGATTAAGTACATGCTTTCGAAGCCTTTGATCACTGGACGTATTAAAAAGTGGTCATTGGCCTTAATGGAGTTCTCTTTCAAGTATATTCCACAAAAGACAGTCAAAGGAAGGGCGGTGGCAGAATTTCTGGCAGATCATCCTTTTACCAAGATAGATTCAGAAGTATGTGATGAGGTGGATAATCTCTACCTTGACTATACATATTGGACTTTCATGTTTGATGGATCAAGCACTCATGATGGAGGAGGAGCTGGAATAGTCATCATTTCACCAAAGAGAAGAAAAACCACATTTTTTTTTTTTCTTGAATTTCAAGTGTATAAACAACCAAGCTGAGTATGAGGCACTAATTATTCGGTTAGAAATCCTGCTAGAGCTAAAGGTAGATAAGGTCCAGATTATTGGAGATTCCAACTTGATACTTAGCCAACTTTTTGAAGAATATAGCATTTGAGGCCTTTCCACTCTGTGGCCTTGGAATTATTATGCCAGTTTGATGATTTCTAACTCAAATATTGGCCAAGGCATTTAAACATGGAGGCTGATGATCTAGCATAATTAGCTTCTCGAGTAAAAGTCCCACTAGGTGTAGAAGAGAACTTGATTACAATAAAAAAGAAGACTCTCCCTTCTGTAGAATCACGGCATGAGATGACAGACCATTTTCAAGTTGACGGGCTATAAAGAATCAAACCTGCCAAGAAGACATGGGTAGATTTTTAATGTTGATATAGATGGATTAGACTTGGAAGATTGGAGAACACCAATTATCCATTTCTTACAAGAGCCTAGTGCCAATGTGGACAAGAGAGTTTAGCTTTTGGCACCTCATTATATTTTGATTGATGGAGATTTCTACAAAAAGAATAAAGAAGATGGACTTTTGTTAAGGTGCCTTGGCAGGGACGAGTCCATGAGAGTGATGACAGAATCACACATTGGAATATGCGGAACGCATCAAGCTGGAATCAAGATGAGGTGGCTTCTTAGAAGGTACAGTTATTACTGGAAAGGCATATTAAAAGACTGCATAGAGTTTGCAAAGACTTGTACTGCATGTCAAGAACATGCCCCGGTCTAAAGAGTTCCAGTTATCAACATGTAGCCGGTAGTGAAAATATGGCCATTCAGAAGGTGGGCTTTGGACTTTATTGGAAAGTTGAGGCCACCATCTTTAGATGGCCATACTCATATTGTGGTGGCAACAGATTATTTCACGAAGTTGGTTGAGGCTATTCCATTAAAGACCTGTGAACAGTTAACAGTGATTGATGTTATCAAAAAGCACATTATACATATGTTTGGAATTCCAGAGATTATCACCACTGATAGAGGCCTTTCCTTTATTGGGAACAAAGTTTTGGATTATTGTGCTGAGTGCGGTG